AAAATTCAAGATACAGTCGATTGTGTTCAAAATTGGTCTGTAGAAAACAAGATGCAATTAAATGCCTCCAAGTGCAAGGAACTTGTTATCAGTTTTACAAACCCTGAGAAAGAATTTCCGCGCCTTAAGATCATCTCAGGCCAAATCGAGACAGTGAACCACGCAAGAATCCTAGGTTTGACAATTTCTAAAGATCTAAAATGGAACCAACACATAACTAACATAGTTAAGAAGGCGAACAAACGGATTTATTTTATTATTCAGTTGAAACGTGCTCATGTACCTGAAGCTGACATAATACATTTTTACCCTACCTGCGTCAGACCAGTCATGGAATTCAGCTGTCAAGTTTTCCACTTCGCCCTTCCTTCCTACTTATCTAATGCCCTGGAACGGGTTCAAAAGCGTGTTTTATCAATCATTTATCCACTGACAGGTTATCCGGATTGTTTACAAAAATCGGGCATCAAACCATTAAGCGACAGGCGTGTGGATGCATGCGAGAATCTGTTTAATGAAATCACCACAACACCAGTAGCTAATATGCATAATCATGTACCATCTAGATACTTTCCAAATTACGACCTTAGACACTCAAGGTCTTTTGTTGTTCCTCAGACCAAAACGAACAGATTTAGAAACAGTTTTTTCCCTTTATCTGCAAGGCATATCAATAATATTAACTGACAATCGATTCTGATTTTCAGTTTTAGACTGGCTAACTTTTTTTTAGAAATTTACTAGTTTCATAGCTAATTTGTAATGTAACTTTAAACTTCTGTAATATAGAATTATAAATTGTAATGTAATTTTAAACTTCTGTAAATATTGAATAACTAATTTAATCATTTCTCTTGTAAAATTTAGCACGCAATTCAGCCTCTTGGCTGCTATGTGTTAATCTTATTAAACAAACAATCTATCTATCTATCTCTACATTATAAGTACCCAAATAAGCTATATATATAAAAAAACAGATACAAATAGCTGTTTTGCGAAATTGAGAGCAATTTTAAATCTGTTCAGGTTTTTTTTTTATACACCCTGTATGTATATATATATATATATATATATATATATATATATATATATATATATATATATATATATATATATATATATATTGTTGTGTAATTGTACACTCTGTAATATGTTAAGATGAAAATGTTCTAGAGTGTGTATTATATAATTTCCATACCCAGCGCAAGCAGAAAGATGTTGTCTGGCGCGGCTGGGTCTTGAACCCGCGACCTTGAAGGTCGCGGGTTCAAGACCCAGCCGCGCCAGACAACATCTTTCTGCTTGCGCTGGGTATGGAAATTATATAATACACACTCTAGAACATTTTCATATATATATATATATATATATATATATATATATATATATATATATATATATATATATAT